TAGGTTAGACCTTGGCCTAGGTCATTGGACACTGCCTGTGGTGCCTAGAAAGGGATACTCATCATATAGACCCTTGGATGGGGCCCATGAATGAGGAACGATGTGCTCGATTATGCCTGCCGTCTTCCCCGGACGTAATGCATATGCATTGTATTCAAGTTTTCATAAAACAATCGATGATTCAAATAGAACGCATATGCGTTGTATTAGGATATAATGGCTGTTCGAATAGAATGCATGTGTTGTGTTTGAACAGAAAGCAACCTAATATGTGTTGTATTCAAGTTCGGGGGAAGATAGTAGTGCCTGAAGTACCCGTCCGACAAGGCTTATCCAATAGTGCTTCAACCAGGGTTGGGTCTGCCTTTCCAGTGCTGGTCCCTGTATCTACTGTCCATGAGTGTTGTATGTGAAGATAGGTTGATGATGGGAGGGGGGAGCATCACTCTGTGAAGGCATCACATGGAGGGTGGTGAGCGTCCTTGTACTAGGGATTGAGAGTGAAGAAGGGGTGTGTTCTATCTGGAATCTCGGGTGATGGGTTGGGCTATGGGGTCCATCACAAGGTGGACTCCGCCATGCAGGTGGCAGGGTAGTATCACTGGTATGGAGATGCACCAGGAGAAATGTTGTGGTTAGAATGAGAGAGGGCCTTCATGGACGCAGGATACCTGAAAAAAAAACAAAAAAAAGGGACCATTCAGACATGCAGGGTTGGGCTGAAAGAGATGATAGACAATTTTGCTTTTGGGGTAGGCCTTGTGCAAACTCTTGCTTTCTCTGGCCCCCCTCTCTGTTCCTATCTACTGTTGGGTAAACCGCCAGCCAGAAATTTGGTTGGGCATCCTGACTGAGAGGTAGACACTGAGGTAGGGCTAAGGGAGTGGGGGTGCGCACGGGATAATTGACAGAACGGGGTGAGTGGGGTGTCGTGAGGAGAAAGATCAAATAAAGGGGGGGGGGAAAGGTTGAGTGAGCAGCCAGTTATGAGAGGGTAAATATGAAACCACCAGTGCTTCTTAGCCACGATTTTAGGAAACGTACAGGCCACTACAGGAGCGCCCAGATTCATCCGACTTGTAAAAATGTTTCTACTCTATTTTCTTCCATGGCCAATAGCTGGGCTAAGTACTGTTTTAGTTGGTTAGGCATGGAAGTGGCGTTCAGGAGGTCGTGGGTTCAATCCCCATGATTGACCGCCTGGGGTACACTTGGCGCCAACCCACTGAAAATTTTGGTTGCTCGCCTCCCATCTAGTTCCCCCACCTCTATCCAGTAACGGCAGTGTCTAAGGCCAACACTCTCCCAAACACCACACACAACCCACACACAACCCACACACACACTCACACCCGTGATGGCCAAAGACCCTACCAATAGGGACCTGCGGGCAGCTGCTGGCTGGCAAAATGCTCGGTCTTCAGGTTAGCCGGCCTCCGCTTCTGGCGGCCCCACCTTACTCCCTGACCGCAAACGATTAGGGTGGGTGCCAAAATGCATCCCCTTGAGTGTCAGAGGTACCTATAGGCTTAGGAGTACCGGTAGGTAGTGAAAGAATTTGAGAGAAGGATATAGCTTCTGGGGGCCTGATTAGGTCTGAAGAGGTGGTTTGACAAAGGGGTCCTTGGTTATGGCTAGACTCCTATTTGCAAAGTGTCATATATTCCACTACCTGCTCAGTCAATCCTGAGTGCTGGCCACACTGAGGTAGGATAGTGGGATAGGGGGTGCGCTAGGAGTATTGACGTGAGGATGGGTTGGGAGGTGGTCTCATATTCCAGGACACCCGTGGCTCACACTTCCAGGTGATCACTGTGCACACACTGACTAGCCTCTACAACACCCTGGACTTTCGGGGGGGGGGGGGAATCCCCTGGTGCAATCAATGCTGGCAGGTAGATACAGTCAAGCTCGGTTTCGGGATGTATAATGGGACGCTGGACCCGTTTTCCAGCACATGCCGCTCCCCACAAATAGATTGAAGCCTTTTGTTAAAAAGAAAGGAAAAAAAGAACAAAAAGAAGACGTTACAAAGGTTTCCTTCCAAGCCACTTTTTCTCCGGGGCTGGAACCGCACTGCGTGTGAACAAAAAAGAACAGGTGTGGGCCTCCTTTTGGCTGGCACCGCCAGCCATTTTGCTCCAGCGGCCAAGCCCCAAAAGTTGCAGCAGCAGCCACTACTTCGAAAAAATGGCTGGGAAACGTACTGGTGGTTTAAGCCCAACCAATTAAATTACCTGTCGAATCTGGACAGGATGGCCTTTCAGGCCTTTTTTTATCATCATTGTAGTATTACGGGGAACCCAGTAGCATCCGCATCCGTGTTCAAGCCTTGAATGCGGGAACATGTGGAGCTGCACACACCAGCAGGCATACTGGCCAGGGGTCGCCCAGTAGTGAGCTTCATCCAAGTGGACAGTCGTTGTGCCTCCCCTCTGGTCCTTGCCCTGTATGAACATTAGCAGTACCTGGTATAATGTGGATTGTGGGGGGAGGGGGGGGCAATGTTCTATCTCTAGACGGCGAGCACCAAGTGCGCCCAGGCAGGTACACGAGGCCGATGGGAATTGAGCCCAAGACCTTCCTGAATGCTGCACGTGACACTGTGCCTTACCAACTGAGCTACACCGCTGACTTTTCTATTGTCATTATAATATTATTATTACGGCGAACCCCATAGCAGCCACATCTGTGCTCAAGCCTCCAACCCCGGGAACGGCATAGCAGCCACATCTGTGCTCAAGCCTCCAACAAGGAAGCCATCTACTACAGGCGCCTATTATGTCCAGTTGATGTGGCTTAGCATGCCCAGTTGATGTGGCTCAGTGGTTAGAGCACCGGTTGGAAATGTGCATTGTGGTATAAAGGTTGCGGGTTCAAATCCGCAGCCTTGCGCATGGACACCGACACGGTCTGGCAGGGCGTTAGAATGACGTACGGCTGGACACACACCCCCTTGGGCACCACCCAAGGGTTGTTCCACCCAAGGGTTGTTCATGGTGTTGTATGTTGGTTCTGGGTTTCACATGAGTTGCTTGGGGGTGTTGGTCTTGGGTGTTCTGTTGATCTCCCCAGTCTGGCAAATCACACGTTTGGGCCATTTCCACTGGTCGTTCACATGGTACAGTCATTCGATTATATGTTACACGGTCACGGGTCCGAGCTTGGTTCGGACCTTGGGGGGGTCCCTGTCCGAACCTTGGGGGGGTCCCTGTCCAGCTAACCCCGTTCTCTCTCTTCGACTCTCTCTTCGATATACAGAGTATACATAGCCTTCGGCCATAATATTATTGTCGTAGTAATTTTCTGAGTAGCTCAAATTTTTCTTAGCCAAAGCCGGGTGATGGCCCCAGATCTCAAACTTTCAAAATTCTATGTAAATTTTCGTAAAAAAAAAAAAAAAAAAAAAAAAAAAGAATTATATATTGCCTATGGGCTATATTTACACACATAGCCTTATCCTTCGGACATAACATAGAACTATATATCACCTACCGGCTGCATACACGACTTCGGACATAACATTGAACTACACATCGCCTACGGGCTACATACACAAAGTTTCCACACATGACACACACATAGCCTTCGGACATTACATAGAACTATATATCGCCTACGGCCTACATACACACATACATATATAGCCTTCGGACATAACATAGAACTACACATCGCCTATGGGCTACATACACAAGGCTGGGGGGGTCTAGTCACGGGATAAGGGTCTAGTATCTGCAGTAGGCTCAGGTTGGTTGGATAGGGTGCCATTCAGTGCAGTTCCTACTGACATCCGGATAGAACTGTCTGGTGGCCATATTGGGACCTGTGGTAGATTGTCTGGGCCTGGCGTCCGAAGTTCCCGTTCAACAAGGTTCGTTCGATTCCGCTTCCACCAGGGCTGGGCAGCTTATTAGCCCTGGTGCCTATCACTGCTGTTCGGTCCAAGTTGCCTACCCAATGGTAGGGCAATGGTCCAGAGTGCTGGTCACACTGAGGTAGGATAGTGGGATAGGGGGAGTGCTAGTAGTATTGACGTGAGGATGGGATGGGAGGTGGTCTCATATTCCTGGACACCCGTGGCTCACAGCTCCAAGTGATCACTGTGCACTCAGTGACTGGCCTCTACAACACCTTGGACTTCAAAAAAAAAAAAAAAAAAAAAAAAAAAAACAGGAGCCTATTATTGGAGGATGCTCTTATCATCCCCAATAATAGGCATCCCGTGGATGTTTCACAAAAAAAAAAAAAAAAGAGAAGACGAACATGCAGGAGCGGCACCCAGCAGCAGGTGTGATACCTGCTACAGGAGGTGGGTGATCGGCCGGGGCAAGGTCCCGCTTGCACGGACTTGCACGGATTAAGAGATTATGGCCGTTGATCTTTGCTATCTACGGTCAATATCGCTTATTAATTCGTGTAAGTGGGACCTAGCCCCCAGTAGCATCAGGACCGACCATCCCCTACCCCCTCCCCCTATGAACATCAGTAATGCCCTTCCTTCTTTTTTTTCTTTTTTTTTTTTTTGAAAGAAACTTCGTTATATGGGAAACCTACTTAACGAGGTGATAAGAGCAGCCCCCTTAAGTGGGTCCCGACGTTGAAGGCTCCATCTATTGGTGGGGAGCTACACCTGCTGGAAATCGGGTCCAACGTCCCTGTACAATTATGAGAATGTATCTGCTGGAAATCGGGTCCAGCATCTCTGTACGGTGATGTGAATGTATCTGCTGGAAATCGGGCCCAGCACCCCTATGCAGATCCACGAAACCCTAACAAAGATGTACATGTGGTGTATGTAATGTATGTATCATGTGTATGTGATGTATGTGTTGTATATCTATCAAAATCTAAACACAAAACCCTAACAATAATATGATGTGATATGTATCTTTATCCATCAAGACTAAGCACAAATCTCTACCAACGATGAAGTATGTGTGATATGATGTGATGCGCGTGAACTTTATCAATGATATAATCTGTCCGAATATTTCCAAGATGAGCAGAGGCATTGATTACTTCCCTGCAACAGGGAAGGATCGATTTCGTGCCCATGAAGTACTATCGTATCTATAAAACCATCGGCATCAATCACCCCAGGAAAAGGAAACAAAGCAAAACTCAAGAGCCTAAGCACCCTACATCCCCTTGGGGCGATCGGCACCCCTTCATGATTAGAGTTTGAGGGCCGGTCAGCTCTAATCAAAAAAAGGGGAGGTGGACATCTATCCTACTCCCACCCAATCGCCGACAGAAGAACAAGTCACCATGTAGAAACAGCAGATAGAAGGGGGGGGAAACGACAGATTGATCCTTCAACCTCAAGCCCCATCTCACCAGTCACATCACTCCGCATATAACCCTCCTATCTGTGTCTACTCCACTCCCCACCATGTCAGCATGGGGCTTATTTCCCGTCGTGCTGATGCTCTCTGCCCTGCTGCTCCCGTGGTCGTTGCTGCCGCCGTCGTCGCTGCTTCCACTGCCGTCGTCGTTGCCGCCATCCTCGCAGTTGTTGTTGTTGTCATCCCCATCTCTGTTGTTGTTGTTGTTGTTGTTGTTGTTGTTGTCATCCCCATCACTTTTATCATCCCCAATCCCCACATCTCTATCGCCATCATCGCTGCCACCGCCGTCACCGCTGCCGCCATCATCGCAGTTGTTGTTGTTATCATCCCCATCGTCCTTGTTGTTGTTATCTGCCCCAGTTCCCACCGCATCGCTGCTGCCGTTGTAGTCCTCGTTGTTGTTGATGTATACTAAGGGCCTCGCCGCACCACTGTCGAAAATGCAATTTTCGACAGTTTCTCTTCGCCACACAGGCTGTCGAAGTCGGAGACAGGAAAAAAATTCTCCAGTTGTCAGAGCATGCTTCTCGACAGCTCCTGTCGAAAGTTGTTGAATCCCCAGCCTGGTACTCCCATGCGACTTCTCTTCGAAATTCGGTGAGGGGGGGTAAGGTCGGGATGGACTAATGCTTGTCGTACCCTCTGGCCCGTTCGTCTTTTTCCATCTTGCATTCACAAGTGCGTGCACTCTACAGTGTTGTGTGGCGAAAGGGGGGCAAACTGTCGAATGGAGGCTGTCGAATTTGTTCTGACAACCGTCAATTTTTTTCGCCTTTCGACTGTGGTGCGGCGAGGCCCTAATTGTTGAAGTTGTTGTTGTTGTTGTTGTTGTTGTTGTTGTTGTTGTTGTTGTTGTTGCTGATGCTGACATCATTGTCGGTGTGACCATTGTTGTTGTCGTTGTTGTTGTTGTTGAAGTCGTTGTTGTTGAAGTCGTTGTTGTTGCTGATGTTGTTATTGTCATTGTTGCTATCGTTAAGCCCATTGTTGTTGTCGTTGTCGCGGTTATTAATATTGTTGTTGTTGTTGTTGTCGGTGTCGACGCCGGAGTTAGCCTTGTCTTCCTGTACTCCATTCTCCTGCCAGTTCTCATCCTCCATGTCGCCATCGCCCATCAACCGCTCCTCCAGCTTATAGTGCAGGTTACGGCCCTCAGCGAAGAGGGCATAACAGGTAGACATCATGCCACGTGCCCTCGTCCAATCGATGCAGGATTCTAGCTGGGGATCCGGCCCCTCCTCCAGCTCCCAGATGATGTCCAACATGTCGTCGGCCATATTCTTCACCCAGCCAGCCAGAGAGATCGCCCCCCCTACGTCCTCTGGCTCCTCATGCGATCGCAAAGACAACTCGCCCACCATCACCTGTAACCTCCTGCATCCTTTTTCCAAGGTCATCAGCCAGTCGCCTGCTCCTCGTTGTAGCTCCCCCCCCAACTCCATCTCTAGCCCAGATAGCTGCGCACCCCTCTTGTGTTTCCGCTTCAACGTCACGGCTGGCGCTATCCCTGCCCGTGCATCATGGAACGGCCAACGTCACCAACAACAGACGCCACGTGGCAAAAGGAGCCACGCGACTGTCGGGCGCACGCATAGGCCTAGCAGCCGAGGAGCTTCCCTCCCCAGGCGCTAGTCTCGCCAGAGGGACCGGGCCTTGCCGGTCCGCCGGCGTCAGGGCGCTAGCCTATCTCTAGGTGGCAGGCACCAAGTTTGCCCACCTAGGTGAAGGTACATGTGAACCCAAGACCTTCCCAATGCCACTTGCGTGCCTTAGCAACTGCGATAGGCCAGTGGATGGCCAAGCATTTGTAGGCGAATATATATTTATATATTTTTTTAAAAGCTATGTTCTTCTCTCAATGTCACCTCACACTACCTACCTACCACTACTCCTAATTGTAGGCATACGGGGAACCCCGTAGCAGCCAGAACCGTGTTCCACCAGAGAGCACGCGGGGGCTGCTCCCGACCTGCAGGTGGGCGATACCGGTTAGGGGACAGCGCGTAGGATCAGGGACCATGCCAACAGGACCAATCCCTGTGCCTCCCCCCTCAGGTGGTGGTCCCCCCCCCTCTACCAACATCAGCAGACTCTGCTCAATGCCAACCGGGGGATCCAGTGGCCGGTATCTCTAGGTGGCGAGTGCCAAGCATGCCCTGGAAGGTACATGAGGCCTATGGGGATTGAACCCACGACCTCCT